GGAGGTAGGTTAGAAATCATACCTTGCTCTCGAGTGGGTCACGTGTTTCGGCGAAGAAGACCATACGGTGCTCCAAATGGCGAAGACACGTTGACCAAGAATTCTCTACGTGTTGCCCATGTATGGATGGATGATTACAAAGTAAGAAAATTAATATTTATGTCACATGTGATTTATCAAATTTTATTAATGATTTGTTTATACCTTATCTCATTACATCTAATCAGTAAATAGCTTAATTTTCATAATTACCATGTTGATAAATATTGTTTGTTTGGTAGGAGTATTATTTACAGACTAGGACCGATGCAAGAAGTAAAGAATATGGTGATGTAAGTGAGAGAAAAAAACTCAGAGAAAAACTTGAGTGTAAGTCGTTTGATTGGTACATGAAAAACGTGTACCCCGAGTTGGGCCGTCCACCATCGAAGGAAGAACGAAAAAGAATGAAACAAGTAGAACTAACAAAACTGAAAAAACAAAAGATATTGTGGAAAAGAACAAAACCTGCAACTGTTTCTGAGTATCAGGTGAGAATTTTATAACTATTACACACGATCGACCTTTACTTTAAGGTAGTTTATATAATTGTTAAACAGTAAACACTAGAAAATGTCCATAATGCTGTTTATTCTTCACTTTTCATTGAAGCAGGTTTTCTAAGTTTAGTGCAGAGTAACTAATCTAGATCGCTTCTGTTATTCAATTCATTTTTACATTTATGTAAAACTTTGTTATTACGTGTTACGGTTCATCAGTCTTATAACTTGGTCAGTTTCTGTCACTAATATTTATAAGTCTGTGGTGTTTTATATTTCAAACCTTTAAACACAGGTTATTGGATCCATGGTTTTCTTGGTTACAGCATCCCTAACAACATATGAATCATGCAAAAGTATCAATATTATAGTTATTCCCATTTAAAAAAAGTAATTTAATCCAATTTGTTGTAACATGAAATTAGTGAATGTGATAAAATAGGTTAGTGAAGAGTGTTAAAAACTTTGTGATAAGTTGTAAATATGTGCTGGTAGTCCACCCATTACCTTGGGGTAGCTATTCTGTTATTTGCAGCTAGGTAATTGAAGTGTTATAGCAGTATTGAATACTATTTTGTGGTAAAATGTTACCATATGTGTATATTAACTGGACCATTTCTTCCTTAGATCCAACTGACAGGAACAGATCTATGTATTGAGTCTGAAGATGATGTAACCACGAAGGGAACACTATTAATTTTACAGAAATGTACTCACATCAAAAGACAGGTATGTATAGCCAAACTATTGGCTACTGAACACAAGCCCAGTCTTAACAGAATATACAGTTGATGTAACTACATCAAGAACTTTCACTGGATACCAGCACACTCCACTACCAGAATGACTGTTAGTTGGTTTACTAATGTGTTAGTCACATGTCAGTTCAGGTTATACAATATACTGTCGGTCTGTTTATTAATGTGTTAGTCACATGTAAGTTCAGGTTATACATTATACTGTCAGTTTGTTTATTAATGTGTTAGTCACGTTTAAGTTCAGGTTATACATTATACTGTCAGTTTGTTTATTAATGTGTTAGTCACATGTAAGTTCAGGTTATACAATATACTGTCGGTCTGTTTATTAATGTGTTAGTCACATGTCAGTTCAGGTTATACATTATACTGTCAGTTTGTTTATTAATGTGTTAGTCACATGTCAGTTCAGGTTATACAATATACTGTCGGTCTGTTTATTAATGTGTTAGTCACATGTAAGTTCAGGTTATACAATATACTGTCAGTTTGTTTATTAATTTGTTAGTCACATGTCAGTTCAGGTTATACATTATACTGTCAGTTTGTTTATTAATGTGTTAGCCACGTGTAAGTTCAGGTTATACATTATACTGTCAGTTTGTTTACTAAAGTGTTAGCCACATGTAAGTTCAGGTTATACATTATACTGTCAGTTTGTTTATTAATTTGTTGGTCACATGTAAGTTCAGGTT